GTTTTGGCCGAAAAATCTGTGTTTTTGTGCAAAGGGAATGAGGCTAATTAGACGTTTAGCAGTCTAATTTCCCATTTCCCACTTTTGCCACTAGATGGAGGTATTTCATTGCTGCTCAAGATTCTCTCTCTATTCATTACATTACCTCAGAATGTTACCACCTGCATATGAAAGCAAGATCTCATTAGACCTCTGAAGCTAAGCAGGGCATGGCCTAGTTAGTACTGTGATGGCAGACCTCTGGGAGAACCAGGTGCCACAGTGGGGCGGCTGTAAAGTGCAAGACACTTCACCCACATTGCCTAGAATGAGTCTGGTGTGTGTGTGAATGGTTGGCAGTGGTCAGAAGAGCTAAAGGCCTCAGTTCTGTCAGTGTGCCCAAGGGCAGCTGTGGCTACAGAAGTAGTTAATCACCACTGAGTATTGAGTGAATGAATAATGTTCAGTGAAGCATATTTGAGTGTGCAAAAAACATATAAACCCAATGAATTATTGTGTATGTTTAAGTAAATATCCTAGTAACACCACATCATGTTAGTTCTTTAATACTTGGATAATCGCTCCATACTTTGCCCACGGCGGCGCCTCCCTTGCTGCTTCTGCTCGCGCTCATAAATCCTCTGCTTATTGGCCACGTCCGCACGTAAATCTCCTGTTATCACTTTTACACAGCACTTTACTTGCACTCACGCATCCATTCTTCCACACATCCATCTCGCTCAGAACCAAACTTCTCCCCTGCCCTCAATACGCAAAGGCATTCTTATTTCAGTTTTATCCAATAAGGACACACATTATTTTGTATTTTGGAGGTTTCTCTTTTTGCACTCGGTTCCAGGTGCGATAGGTCTTGGTTGATGGTAGTGTATTGTCCGAGATTGTTTCAATAATGGTCTGACTGAGCAGTGTTGGTGAGAACTGTTTTTTGGTGGGTTTGGTGTTTGGAGGTAAAAAAGTCCTTTTAAAAAATCTGGGGGAAAAAGAAGACAATTATAGCCTTTTGCCTGAAGTGCTCTTAGATGGCCTGTTTGTTTATGTTTGGTTTGGGTCCTTCCTCAGTTTAAAATTCTGATACTGAAATAAAAATCTACTTTTTGTCATACACAGACATTTGCACTTTGACAAATGAAATCATAAGAATATAGTTGTATTTAGTTCAAAAGAGATTTAATGTAACCCACCATAATGTCATCACTTACACTTTTTTTTCCATACATTTTGAAACCAAGCCTATAGGACAATACTTGTAAACAATAGATTTTATCAGTAGATCTTTTGGGAGGGCCTGATTTGACCCCTGGGACAGAAGTTTTCAATTTCCCAGACTATGGTTTTATTTGTGTAGAACTAATTTATAGGCTATATAAAACAGGTGCCATTCCAGTAAGAAAAAAAGTCCTTCAAACTTTTCATGCAGGTTAAAGCTGGGGTACCTAACTTTTGGTTTACATGTTGTTTGTCCCAACAGAAGGTGGCAGGAGCGCTGCTGTGTACTATCGTCTCTGTCTGGTGCACATGGGGGGTAGTCTTGCAGTTCAGTTCAGTTCAGTTTATTTATTTGCCATTTGCAGTAAAAAACCACATTGGAATACATTAGCAAAAAGTCTCCAGTGTGCACAGACAAATATAGACATAAAACAACATTAAAAGACAGAAATAAAACAAATAAAACAGTAAACAAATATCACTGTGAAATCGATCGACTAAAACAGTTTCAAAACAAGTACAAATCCTTAAAGTGCTGTGTTCACACTGATAACAGCTTGTGGATAAAAACTGTTAGAGTAACGAGATGTCCTGTATCTCAGAGAGCGATATCTTCTGCCAGAGGGAAGAAGCTGGAACATGGCTTTCCCAGGGTGGCCAGAAGAGTTATTGACAATCCTAAGAGCTTTGTTTAAAAGTCTGGATTTATAAAGAATCTCCAGAACAGGAAGCTCACAGCCCACGGTCCTCTTTGCAGAGCGGAGCACCTTGTTTAAAGCTCTCTTTTCTTTATCTGTGATGTTTCCGAACCACACAGACACAGAACAAACAAGTAAACTCTCAATGGTGCAGCGATAGAAGTTAAGCAGAATCTTAGAGTTAGTGGTAAATTCTCTAAGTTTACGCAGAAAGTAAGACGCTGACCGAGCTTTTCTTAACGACTCGGTCAGTGTTTTTAACCCATTTCAGGTCGTTAGACAGAGTTAACCCAGAAACTTGCACTCCTCTACGATCTGCACCTGGGAGTTGTCGATTACGACAGGCAAATGAGAACTATTGCACTGAGTGTAGACCAGTTCACATGTTTTCAATGCGTTCAACTGGAGGTTGTTAGTTTTACTCCACTGAACCACATTTTGTATCTCTGCTCTATAAGAGGATTCATCATTGTCACTGATGAGACCGATGATGGTGGTGTCATCAGCATATTTGATGATCAAGTTTGAGTCAGAGGAGGACACACAATCATGAGTGTACAAAGTAAAAAGCAAAGGACTCAAAATACATCCCTGAGGAGATCCAGTGCTCACAGAAACAGCATCAGAAAAACAGTCATTGATTTTCACTCTCTGAGATCTGTCAGTTAAAAAGCTAAAAATCCATTTACACATGGCAACACTTAAACCGAGAGACATGAGCTTTTCAATCAGTTTACCTGGGACAAGGCAGTTAAAAGCAGAGCTATAATCGATGAAAAGCATTCTCGCGACAGATTTACTAGTGTCCAAGTGACTGTAGACAGAGTTCAGAGCAAAGGAGATGGCATCCACCACACTCCTGTTCTGTCTGTAAGCAAACTGGAGCGGGTCAACACTCACAGGGATCTGGCTCTTAATGAAGTCCAGCACAAGCCACTCAAAAGTTTTCATAAGAACAGACGTGAGGGCAACGGGACGATAGTCATTCAGGCATGTCACAGGAGTTTTCTTAGGAACTGGAATGATGGTCGACTCTTTAAAGCAGTTCGGCACAGTACAGTTCCTTAGCGACAGGTTGAAAATGTCTGTTAGCACAGGGGCAAGTTGCTCAGAGCACAGTTTCAGGACACGAGGAGGGATGGCGTCCGGGCCTGGGGCTTTCCGGACTGTGGTCCTGGACAAGACACGCCTGACTGCCTCCTGAGTCACGGTGAAGGCAACTTGATTGAAACACTCAGGGAATACAGTAGGACAGGCATCAGCGGATTCATTGCAGTTTTTCCAATGTGGTTTTACTGCAAATGGAAAATAAATTCTTGAATCTTGAATCTGATTTGTGATTTTGGTACTTGTTTTATTTGATGATTTGTGCTTTGTGTGATGTGGACTGTGAAACGCTCTGTGTTGCCCTGTGTGGAAAAAGCTGGATTGATTGATTGACTGATTGATTGACTGAAAACTCATTATCTTGGGCTGTTCTAATTGATTGCTTCTCTCATCTACTGTCGGCAAATTGACAATTTCTGTGGCATCCTTCAATTGCACTGCTGAAGGGGCGATAAAAGAATAAATTTAACAGATTGACTTAGTGAGTTTGGTTCTCTCTTTTTAACTTTATTGAAAAAGCTGATTTAAAGATGTGACAGTGGTAAAAACTATAGTCCTCGTTCTACAGCCTGAGTCCTGGCTCTACAGCCTGTTCGTGAGAGTAGATCCCTCTCTCAACATGGGCCTCCCTGAGGTTTCTCACTTTTTTCCCACTGGGTTTTGTTTTTGGAGTGGTTACTTACTGAAGCAGGAGGATCTAAGGACACTGATGATCCAGGACATTAAAAGATTAAAAGACATTTACAGACAGTGGTCATCCAGCTCGCTATGGACCTAAAATAATAAGAATAATAATAATGCATTGGTTTTTCACAGCACTTTTTCAGGACACTGAAAGACGCTTCACACAGTGCTGATAAACTAGAACTGTAGCCACATCTGCCCTGGTGCACACTGACAGAAGCGAGGCAACCAGTATGTGCCACCAACCATTCAGACACACACCAACTCATATAGGCAATGTGGGTGAAGTGTCCTGCCTTGGCTCCTGTTTTTTTTTTTTTATATTGCATTTCCTGTGTTCGAACGGTTTGATTCTCTGATCTATTTTTGGCAAATCAGAATCAGAATCAGAAATCGACAACTTTGTAAAGTTTGGGGGCTACATCAATTTGAATTGAACTATACGATACAAGCAACTCGTTTTGAGACCAAGGAACTATATAGGTCAGATTTCATTGTATTGCCCCAGTTACGGCTAGAAACTTAGGTACCCCAGCTTTAATTCCTTTTTTAAAAATTACTTCTTGTCAGCAAAAATAAAACATACATGTCCCAACTCCTCCTGCTGTCCGCCTGCTCCGCCTGCGCTGCTGCGGTGATGTCAGCGCGCCTCGCCTGCGTGCCTCTGGGTCATTTGAAGGGCAGCAGCCTGGGATGGGTTCACGCAAAGTTCACTCGCATATATTACGCACTTCAATCTCTTCTCTCCGCGCCGCAAAAACTAGTTCCAAACGCGCCGCGCTCCATGTACGACACACACAGAGACGCACACCTTTTTTTACGCGTGGATTCTGCGCGTTTTACTGTGGATTTTTCCCCCTCTTACGCGCAGTTGGGACAGACGTTCGCACTCACACTCCGGGCTGCTTGTTTTGATCACATGGAGCAAAGGAGCCGATCGGTGCATGCGGGCGGACCTGGAGTCTCACGTTAAAGGCTACACGCGGTAATGTAAAAGTATAAAGTGACCATTTTTACGCGCGGGGTCCTATCCGAATACGGGACGCTTCTCACTGCATTGACGCAATCTTAAGCTGTTTTTTTGGTGGGAGAGTGGAAAGAAGAAGTGGAGACATATTCACAGAAGGAGGGGGGAACAGCAGCAGTAGCAGTAGCAGTAGTGGACGCAGCAGTAGCAGTGGAAGCAACCAGCAGCCAGACGCAAAGAGTTTGGATGGAGTTGATTTGGCACGCGTTGCGGCTCTACTGTGAATAGTTTTTTTCTTGTTTTTTTTTCTTTACACATCCCCTGCGCTCCTTGGAGACATGTTTGACTGCGTGGACGTACTGGCCATGAGTCCCGGGCAGATGCTGGACTTCTACACGGCGTCTCCCTCCTCATGCATGCTGCAGGAGAAGGCGCTGAAGGCGTGCATAAGCGGACTGACGCACCGAGGCTGGCATGAGCGCAGGAGTGCCAATTGTACGTATGCAAAAATATATAGATATAAACAGTGTGGCTGTTTTGGACGAGTTGGGCTTGTTGTAACTGTGAAAAGTGTGGTAATGTCTTTTTATGTCATGAATGAGGAGCACATAAACCCACAGAAAGATTAGTTTTGAATTTGATAAGGTAATTTGCAAAAACAGATATAAAAAGACATATTTGAAAGTCTTATGAATTGTCAATTGTTGAAAAGCCAATCTATTTCAATCTATCTAGAAATCTATTTCAGTGCCACAAATAACGTTTCACTCCTTTTTCTTTTCTTTCCAAATTCGTTCACATTTACATAACAATAACAGAACATGTTGAAGGTTGTAGCCAGATGAATACAACTTTTTGACAAATGTTCCTAACGCAGATGTATGTTTTTGCAATATAATCATGTCAACTAATAAAACACAATCTCTGTGATAAAGGACTTGATCTTGTCTCAAAAATCTGCTGACACGCTTGAAGCAGTAATGGATTTAGGTTTCTGTACTGTTTTAAAATATGTTGTGCCAATGGGAGTGAGAAAGTGGTTTTCATTCAAACAAAAATATATGGTATTTTTCAGTCTACCAGTCCTGAGTTTGGTTGGATGATCCTGTAGGTCCATGGACACAGCGCGTCTGGCAACAAGGCTGTGTTTGAAGAGTTGAGGTTGTAACTGTGGGAAGTGTGGTAATAACATGTAGCTGTAAAAATGATCCTTTTTCTATTTTTCTTCCGCTTCATCCATTAGAGGTCGATGGGGCAGCAGTCTAAGCAGAGACGCCCGGACTTCTCTGCGTTGTCAAAATGAACTTTATGAAATATCTATCGTTATGTGTACAGATATATGTGCACTGCAAAAATATTGAAGTGAATATGTGGCACTTTAGACATTTGAATACATTTATTTATAACCGAGAAAATGGGTTCTGCACCGGAAAAAAACAGTATCGCTGCTTGTTCCATTGGAAACCCAAAACTAGTTAATTATTGCCTAAATGTTTTTTGTTTATTTTATCGACTTGAAATAATAATTGACTATACTATAATATTTTATAGCAGCATATTTCAAATCGAACATAATTCTAGCTCACAATATTTGACTGCTATTATTCTAGATTAGTTTCAGTTGTCTATAATTGCTGTAATGATGTGGATGGAGAATATTTCACGGCTTTCAATACATTTCTGACAGTTGTGAAAAGCTTTACCTTGACTTAAAACATTGCATTCACCAGTGATGTTAACAAGTTCTATTATACAGCTGTAGTACTGCATAATATCAGGTACAAGTTTATTGTCTGTTATTTTGATATACGTACAAATATGTATCGTGCAGGTTCAAAATAAATAAATGTAATGCAAAAATATAGTAATCATGTAGCAGTGTTTTCTCATGGACTCGACTCGTTCAATAGTGATTCTAAAACTGTTGAGGAAAAGTCACATTTTGTCCATTTGTTATTTGTACTTCAGATTGAAATATTTTTTTATGGGAGTATGTGATAAAAAGTCATATTTACAACACAATGTTCAAATCTATTAATTACAGCTTAAACATGAATTGAATCTTTTTCATTATTGATTCTTTAGTATGTTTTTCATCTTCTGTGTGTATTTTTAACCCTTTAGGCGCCAGATTATTGTCTGAAATACTAATAATAACTAATTATAACATGAAAATGGAGCCCTGAAATGTTAAGATAATAAATATTTTAGACTATTTTAAACTTAAGGATGATGGCGGTTGCTGCGCAGGTTCTGACTTAAAATTAATGAGCAGGATTTAAGACGTATAACAGTCGTAAACACTTGATTTAAAAATACTGTGTGGAAAAAAAATCTTGAAACAAATGAAAATCATTTTGGTTGAGTAAATAGAAGTGAAACAGTTATGTTGTTGTGTGACGCGGTGTGAATGAGGACATGACGAGAGCTTGTAAGTGTTGAAGTGTAGGAAGGAGGTTTAGGAGAAAGTGAGCCCTGTTCAGACGGTGGCGATGATCCACGACACTCCACATTCAACTAAAAAATATTCATTTTATGGACATTGGTCATCGGCCTCTTATGGACCGATGGAGCTCTGTGTTTTCTATCATTGCATTTCTTGTGTTTGAACTGTTTGGAAAAAAGCCTCTTAAATTTAAGTACTAGCTGAAAAATAGAGTCCTTGTTCAAATAAAACCTATGAATGAATGATAAAAAAGAGACGTAATAAACCACTATTTTTGATGCATGTTGATCTTCAAAGAAAGTAGCTACTCTGTATGTTTAGTTTTACAAAAAAGGACACAACACTGTTCTTTCTTTTTGCAAAAGGGTTAGACAATATATGTGCTTTTGATCTGTAAATTGTAATAATAATAATAATAATACATTTTATTTATATTGCACCCATAGACTTATTGCACCCTACTTTTCCAGGAAACCTCAAAGTGCTACAGATAAAAAAAAAAACACAAACAACAAAACAAAGCAAAAGAATCAGAAGTACATAAATATAACAAAATCAAACTTGAAGGGATTTAAAACAAATAAAATCTCAAATAGGCCTGATTAAAAAGCAATGTGTTTAGGCCTCTTTTAAAGGCCTCCAGACTTAGTGGTGCCTTCAGAATAACGATGAAATGCAAGCTCTGAAATATTATGTGATGTTTTTTTATATTATATTAGGACCTACTTTATTTTAAGTCAAATCTTAAAGAGTGATGCTAAATTCACATTCATTAAATCATTCAATGCTGAATCAAAAATGTCCCACAAATGTATATGTATAATAATCAGATATACCATTAGGACTTGCTGTGTGGTTGTTGGTTGAATTCCCCGGTGAACTGTGGCACCTGTCGTGTTGTTTGTGTTGTGTCTCTGGGCCACGCGACCTCAAGAGCCTCTGGTCCTGACCCCTCTGTCCTGCGACATCACAGCCGCTCTTTCAGTTCATTACTCTTTATTTTGCAATTATTTGTTTAATTGGTTTAGGGAAAAGTGTTTGCAACGATTACAGCAGCGGTCCTCAACCTTTTTATCACACAGAAAGTCTCTTTTGGCAGAAGCACAATCAAGGTTCAGATTAAGATTAAGATAAAGAGATGCTTTTGCGTCCCATAGTGGGGAAATTTCAGTGTTGCATCTCCAGTTACAGATCAGTAGGAATGAGGCGCACACAGCAAAAGATGAGTGAACAATAACTACATTTAATAAAATCTCTAATTTTAGCATAATGAAGAACCAAGTATAAAAATCTGTATATTCTATGTAAGAAATATATAGTTGGCATGTCTTGGATCTATTTTACTGTACATGTATTAATGCACACAGTTAAATATAATATATATATATAGTATTGTCGTCATGGTAAAAAAAAATACATTATTTGAAATGTTTGAATTCTTCGGTAGCTACTCGGAGGGTGTAACGAGCTACAAGGATAATTAGTTATTCATGAATGTATGAAGTCTCTCTCATAGATCTGTATCAATGCTGTGAGATCAATCCTTATTAAGATGAAGAGATCCTTTATTTGTTCCAAGCTGGGGAAATGTCAGTGTTGCATCACAGGTTACAGAACAGTAGGAATGACAGGCACACAAACAAGATAAGTAGTAATCAATCAAATTAGTGTTGAATTTATCATATATTCAAATCTCAGTACTGTAATAAATGATAAAAAAAATTTAGGCATTGTTTTTATTGTTCTAAATAAGTTATATATTTTTGTAATTTAAATAGGAGCATGTAAAAAAAAAAAAAAATACAGTAACCTCCCGAATCCGCCTGTCTCCGTATTGTGGTTAGATGATCCTAAATCCATGACTTTCAAGATTCAAGATCCAGTTTGGTTTCTTTCATCCCATGTCCCTATATGATCTACTCCTTGCTTTTTTGCCCTGACTTTTTAACCCTGAATTGTGTTTTATCAGTGATGCAAAACCAAGGGTCTCCAACCTGTATCTCGGGAGTGGATAGTATCAGGCTCTCTCTCACCAATATTTCAACTCAGTAGCTCTGCCATTTTTGTCTTGAGAAAGTAGCGAGAAAAGTTGCAGACATCTGATCCAAACAGCTCAAGACTAAAGAACAAAGAACTATGTTATATGTCTATGTCACGCATGATAAAACTTAGCATATATAATCACTGTTTCACCGTAGCACCTGTGGTCATAACACCTTGGAGACTTCAAAGCGTCCCATCCTGGCCCTAAACCAACACCTTACTTGTGATTGGCTGATACATCTGCTCACCACTGAACTTAAATGCCATTGGACGTGACTCATACACTAGATCTGACCCCAGACTCTCAGATATGGCCTTTGCCCCGACCGGCTTCCTCTCTCCGGATGGCCCAGCGCGGACCCTTTCCCATCCTGTTCCTCTGTAATCACTTTCACAAACATCACATTATCTTTGCTGACTTTGTACGTTAAGAAATACAAGAAAGATGGGGAGAAAACAAAAGAAAACAGAAAACATGTGTTCATTAGTAGTGTGTTTTTTGACCTGTGTTGATATGCTGTGTCGTGACAACAATGGGAAAGGTTGCTGTGTTGTTTGGACCTGTGTCAGTGTTTCACCATGGGGAAGTCAGGAAGGTGTCAAATTAAAGTTTTGACTTTCCCAAGGTAGGGGCGCCAGACAACTGCATTAAAATGGACTAGTTTAGCTAATCACGTGTCGCAATAACAACTTACTTTTCTCAAGGACAACTTTATAAAGGAAAGAACAGTGCAAAACAGTTTGATTTTGGTGACCTGAGTTTTTGGGCGAAAGCTACAGACTGTGTATTAACGGCTTATTAAACGAGCGCGAGGTTTCTCTGTACAGACCGAGCAAGCGAGGTTAATAAATGTTTTATTATATGACAATTTTTCATTTATGCAAATATCGATCTCCGACTTGGTTTTCCTAATCGTGTTTTTAGCTTTCTGGTCTGTAACAAAGTTGCCAATCTCTTCTTGACTGTTAGGAGTTTTGTTTTTGTCGTTATTTGCTGTTTTTACTT